CATACAACAGAGCTTGGAAGGAGGGTTTTTTTGGGGAGGGTGGGGAATGAATGGGAAAAGGGGGGGAGGGGAAAGGAGAGACTGTTCTCTGGGGACAGATGCAGCAGAAGAGGAGAGAGACAGAGACAGAGACAGACAGAGACAGACAGACAGACAGACAGACAGACAGACAGACAGACAGACAGAGAAATAGGAGGTGAGCAGGGCCCTTTTGGGAGGGAACATAGTAAATAGGCACAGGTGGTGCTCTTGGTGGCAGCAGCTGAGGGCGTATCCTGTCAGAACCCCAAGGACAGGCCAGTACAGATGCGTGAATCTTAACAAAAAGTACCATAACTGATTTCTTCTCTTCTGTAATCTGTGTTCCCTGAAAAGAGGTAGGGAATATCCTTCCACTTTCTTGAATTTGGACTGACCACCTTCTGCTCTACGAAAAAAAAAAAGAAAATGTCTGGACACTTTGAAGGCTATAAGTTTCTGTTATTGAAATCAGAGGAGCAAAGTATTTAAAGGGGGAGAAAGGAAGGAAAGGAGTGAAAGAAAGGGAGGTGAGAAAACAGAGAGAAGAGAGAGAACAAACATGAGAACAAACCTTCCTCAGCATATTAGGTAAATTCTGCACTGCAGTTAGTCACAAAAAGGGGTTATCTGTGTGAATTTTGTCTTTCTCACAAAGTAAATATCACTAAACAAACCCCAGTTGTCATCATGTAGCACAGAAATCCTGCATTCTAAACCATACCTTCATTCACATCTGATATACAAAACTGTAAATGATTACTATTGACTCTTAAACCTCAAACTTTGGCTTAGTTTGTTGTAAGGAGTAGGTAGGTCACTAAAGCAATTTCAGTGTACAAATAATTTGCTATTATTGGTATGTATGTCTAAGCCTGATGTAAATTACAATTCTAAACCATGATTACAATGCATTATATCCATGATAATAAATGATAATAAAAACTTTCGTGTTTTATTATCTAATTTGTTAAAGTTATATGATGATATGATGATGTGGTGCTATGATATGATATAATACTCTACATAGAGTGGTGATTTGGGCTCATATTAATATCACTGTCTGTACCACATAGGGGAAAAATCTGAAATCCAAAAGACTAATTACTTAGCAGCAAAACAATCAGATCTTCAGATTTCTGGAAATCTCTTTCCCTTATTGCAATCTTGGTTGTGCCTTAAGAGATTTACAGCATGAAGTCTGTAACTAATTTAGATGTGTTAGGATTGGAGCTATGGGTAAAGACATTTTCATCCACTCCTCAGTTTTCATTCTTGGGAGGTATTTATATCTCAAATGTACCCTACTACATCTCTGATAAGTGGTCCCACAAATATCCTCTTGATACATCTCTCTCAGTCTACCAAACACCACAGTGAGCTCTGCTCTCCAATCGTGGCCTTCTTTTCGCCAGCACTTTACTACCAAATACATTTTTCTCAAGCTAAATGTGACCAAGTTCCCTGACTAGCAGTACTTATCAATCTTAAAACGAGTTACCATGAGGTAATGAATTCTTTTTGAAAATCTTATTATTTCTGTCTTTGTGAAAGTTAAGTCCATACAACACTCTTCTGAATCATGAGAATAATGACCTTCCGATGCAGAATTATCTGACTTCAAGCCAAACTCATTTGGATTCAGAGCGAGAACTCATGATACTAAAATAAGTTGTTGAAATTCTTTTACTAATAAAGTTACATGATGATTGAGTGATCATATTATTTGTGAATACCCATGCACAAGTTAAAAAACAAGTAACGTTAGCATTTGATCTCAAGCCATCAAAACGTACTCCACTATCTATAATAAAAGAAAACGGTTTTATGCAGGGGTATATATAATAAACTACTATTCTAAACCCAGTTCCAGAGATAATTTGATTATATAATCACTGAATGGAGGATTCAATAATGCCCTAAAGCTAAAGTTAACTTTAAGTAAACAAAGCCTTGTAGAGTTGCAAAGTAATGCCATTTAAATTGGCTTTCAAAGGCCAACAAGAGCAGTATTTGCCTTTTGAATTACATTAGATTACCCTGAAACAGCAATTAAATCTTTGAAGGTTGTAACACTCTTTTGACTTTATCAAAATGGCATGAAGTCTTGAAAAGGAAAACCCTGATTTTATGTATTATATTGGCCCGTGTCAAGTAGTCAATGTTCAATTCTTTTGGTGTATAGAATTGTCGAACATTGAATTAATGATGATAGATTTAGTTCACAGATGTTAAGCATTTGATAACTCGTCTGTTTCTGTTTTTGTCGTTTTATTAATTTCCTATGGCTGTAGATAATAAAGTATTAAAAAGTGTTTTAAAACAATGGGATTTTATCCCCTCACAAATTTGGAACCTATATGCTCCAAATGTTTCCTTGTGGAGAGTCCAAGACAAAAGCCATATCTCTCCTTTCTTGAACCCTGATGCGATACGACATGCTTGGCCATTGTTGAATTGCAGGTCCCTCTGCCTCTTCTAGTTTGTGGGATTCTCTACATGTATCTTTGTGTTTCTCAACCTGAATATCTTCTTCTATAAAAACATCTGTTATTGTACCACTCTGGCCTCATTTTAACTTGATTCTATCTGTGAAGGCTGTATTTCAAAATAAGGTCACATTTACAGATGCTATGGATGAGGACATAAACATGCAATGTGCTTTAGGTTCAGTCTCCTCTTGGGACTTGCATTCCAAGTCTCGACAGGGCTGTCATCTTTTCCTGACTCTTCTATGAAGATTCCCTATCCCACCTCAGCACCATTGCCACCCTCAGACACTGAGTAAAAAGGAGTTCAAAAAGCGTACCATTCTCTCCCATCAGAAACAGTGTACACCTAAACATCAAATGTTGTGTGGGAGGGACAGAGTTCCAGAGTTCTACTCCCCAGGAGAAGTCCTGGGTGCTGTGTGCATTCTAACTCATACTTCTCATAGATCAAATATTGCTCCCCTGTGTTGGGGGTTGTATCTGAAGCATGCCACTAAGCACTGGGAAATCCCAGACAATACCTCTTTGTAAACAAACTGTTATGTTGTTCTTGCTATTTTCTTTACCCTCCCGTGAGGAAATTGTCGGTTTGGGGGTTAGAAAGATCTGCTTAGCTCAAAACTTTCAGCCTTACTTTGTTGGAGTAGCCCATGAACACATAGGGGGTAAAGGGGACCTGGAAACATAGAACACATCCATATTTTTTAGATCTTGACAGCCAAAATAAGGTTTTAAATTTTATGTTGTACAAGATAGGGAGACCGTGTTCTATGAGAAAAGCACATTGAGTTACATGACAGTTTGAAAGATGATCCACACTTTCCAACCAAGATGTCACACACTAGCTTTCTATGCTGAATAATATGACAATAGTGTTCTATCTAATTTGCTCTTTCTCAGTGATATAGATATATAAACTAAACATTTTACCTTTCAGATTTGGAAAGTGGTGTGCTTACATAGTCACGTGTCTCTGATTCTAAGAGTTTTTAATATTTTATAAAATATTAGGTCCCTTTCCTCTGTTTTGAAGTCTAACTCTATATTGCCCTTATGCTTAGCTTGTCATTTTCCATCATAGTTCGAAATACCTTTAATTCAGATTTATTGGGGTCTGGATAAATAATTGGATTATACTCTTGTTTTCCAAAGCTATTTAAACTAGTTTAGCTATTATTTAACCACTTTTGCCTATTTTAGCTAAATTCCTACGTTATATTTAATAGTTATGTCATATAGCATTTTGGAGTAACTTTTCAAGTTTAAGTAAGGGATGGATAATAACTTGTAGCATGAGTAAACAAGGAATGAGATATGACAATAAAAATAAAACTGAATCTTGAAATATCCCAAGAGGTTCATTAGTATACTTAAATTCAATATGCACAGAATTTCCATAATTATTTTTAAAAATAATTATGTGAAAATGAGATCCACATTATAAAAACCAATAAAATATTCACTATTTAGAAGAATCTAGTTTATATACTTAATAAATTACTTCATATATTGAGCCGTTGTGCACATGTGTGATATGAAGAGTGCAATATTGTTCCTCACAGGCCCCTTAAAAAGGCTCACTATATGACACATTGTATAGGTGAAAACTCTTTTGCTTTGATTTCTGGTTTTTGTAATTTGTTTGTAGAAATCACAAACTCATGAATTTACTTTAGACATGACTCAAATTTGGCACTGATATTCTCAGATAAACTAAAACTATAAACTAAATAACTTTAGTTTACCTGATGCTTTATTAAGAGAATATTTCTTAGTGTTTGCATGTCCTTTTGAAAACTCCAGTTAATCATCTGAAGAACTCTGAAGCATTCCCTGCTCCCATGTAATTATCTAAATATCAGAAAAATCGGATGAAGCTATTATTTGTCCCAGAATATAAATATCTTTTCATCACCTAAGCAAAAGGCTCTTTTGATTATATTTTATTCTTAGTTGCTTTTGCTCATATTGAAAACATTACTAGGAGGAAATAGTGCTTAACTAAAGATCTGAGGTTTAGCCAGATTTCATTTTTCAATTAATTTATCACAATTTAATTATTAATTAGTATGGATAAATCAAATCCAAGTTTAGATCCACATATATTTATTTTATTCTTTATAAGCACTTCTTTCCAACATTTGAAAACTGAACTATTACTTAAATTAACCGATTTTATGTATTTCTAAAAATATTCATGTACTTAAAAAATTAATGATTCTTCAATGTCTCAGGAATAATATACATTAAGTTTTGGTGAAAATCTTATTTATCAAGAAATGTCATTGGGATTTTCTTAAACTGACAACATCACCAAATGTTGTATTATACAGATTTATTTAAATGTATGTGTGTTTTTTCATTAATACTTCAAAACAACATGACTTCCTCCAGATACATCATGTTGTATAATTGCCTCATTATTTTTATAGATCTGACAGAATTTATAATGGCATTTTATGCATATCTGATTTTCTTTCTTATACTCAGGTTCTTTCTTTGGGAGCAGACGTCTTGCCAGAATACAAGCTGCAGACACCGCGCATCAACAAATTTACAATATTGCACTACAGCCCTTTCAAAGCAGTCTGGGATTGGCTTATTTTACTATTGGTCATTTATACAGCTATATTCACCCCCTACTCTGCAGCCTTTCTTCTCAACGACAGAGAAGAACAGAAAAGGCGAGAATGTGGCTATTCTTGTAGCCCTTTGAATGTGGTAGACTTGATTGTGGATATTATGTTTATTATAGACATTCTAATAAACTTCAGAACAACCTATGTAAATCAGAATGAAGAAGTGGTAAGTGATCCTGCCAAAATAGCAATACACTACTTCAAAGGCTGGTTCCTGATTGACATGGTTGCAGCCATCCCTTTTGACTTGCTGATTTTTGGATCAGGTTCTGATGAGGTAAGAGCTGCTTAAGAATTTTATTTTCTGAAAGACTGCAATTGTAAAAGTAAATCTACATTAACTAGAAGAAACAATAGTTGCTTCAAAAGTTGCAACATCTCACAGATGAAATTCATTTTCACCTGGAAATGTAAAATGAAATGAAGATATTTTCTGTTGCAAATAATTGAAATCCCTCCTATTTTTGCTAAGAGATGCAAAGATACTATCCATGCTGTAGCTAACAACTTAAATTTTGAAACATATTCATAGAGCATCCAGCATACCCCTAGTGAGTAAAATCCCTACAGATTAAGTCTTGAGGCAAAGCTATCAAACATTAAAGATGTCTTCATTCTTAAATCACTTAATGGGTGTGTGTATCAAAGAGAGACTTGTTCTTTGTTCAAACCATAAAAAAGAGGGCACCTTATGAAATGCCTTTATCAAAATTCATTCACTTTTATCTCTCATTTTGGAAAATACTTAGTGTATATTGCTAATACCCCATAAAGTTGGGAACCTTAAGGAAATATGACAATTTTGTGCATATCGATCACATTTTCTGAACAGAGGATCCATAAACATAATCAGAACTTCAAAAGATTCAGTTAGTGTCCACTTTATTTAACTATCAGTTATTGTTATAGTATACAAGTATTTATATCATGAAAAGATTTACAGAAAGTATGTATCTTAGTTTCCTTTCTGGGGCTCTAATAAAATACCTGAACAAAAAGGAAGTTAAGGGATAACAGGTTTATTTTAGCTCACAAGGCCAGGCTCTAGTCTATTAGGTGGGAAAATCAACACATGGGAAATTTAAAGCAGTTGGTCAAAGCCACAGCCAAGAGCAGAGGGAGAATGAGTGCATGAATCCTTACTGCATAATTGCTTTCTCTACACTTGTGCAATTTCAGACCCAAACCCCGGGAATGTGGTCACACACTTGAGGCGGGTCTTCCCATATCTATAAATACATTCAAAACAATTCCTCTACAGACATGCCACAAACCATTTAGATAATCCCTAGTTGAAACTTTCTAGATTTTTGTCAAGTTGACAGTTTAACAATTAAAACTAGCCATGGTAGTACATAGAAAACTAACTCCAAGAAAGTTGACTGAAAAAGAGATAACTCAATGTGCTGAAATTAAAAAAAAAAATTCAGCGTCCTTTTCTGCATAAGAATTCCTCATTATCTTTTGTTGAATTATTAATTTGTACATTTTGAGAGAAAAAGAGATCTCAACAGATACTTGGTTCTTAACCACTGAAATTTTCTGGGCAAAAGAACCCTTGTCTTCCAGGGGGAATCATCAGTGTGTGTAGAATTCAGTTTCTGTGTCCTACTGAAAGGTTCATCAAACTATAGGTTAGGAAATGGATTATGACAGGGTCCTAGCCCCTTTCATCATCTGTAAAAGAATGCTAATAAAATTGTGTTCCTTGGTAATTTGATATTTTATTTGGTACTAGAATAAAATAACACATATGAAATGAAAAAATAGTCATTAAAGATCTTCTAAAGGTGATTTATAATTTGGGTTGTAACTAAAACACAATATAAAACATTTTATCATTGATATTTATCTTTGATTTTTTTAAAAATAAAATTTTATTTAAATCAAAAACATTCTTATTTTACATACCAATCCCAGTTCCCTCTCCCTCTCATCCTCCCATGCCCCCACCAACCACCCATCCCATCCCTCAATGACTCCCCAGAGAGGGTAAGGCCTCCCATGAGGGATCATCAAAGTCTGACACATCCTTTGGGGCAGGACCTAGGCCCTCCCCTGTGCATCTAGGCTGAGATAGTATCCCTACATAGTGAATGGACTCACAAAGCCCATTCGTACACTAGGGATAAATATTGGTCCCACTGCCAGAGGCCCCATAGACTGTCCAGGTCTCCCAACTGACACCCACTTTCAGGGGACCTGGTTCAGTCCCATGCTGGTTCCCCAGCTGTCAGCCTGGGGTTGGTGAACTTATACTTGCTCAACTTAGCTGTCTCATATAATGAGGGATATATGCAGTTATATCACACAAACTTTTCCTGATGAACTACAGAATAAAACTTCAGTTTCAAAGGCATGAATAATGTGTGTGTGTGTGTACATTGACTATATATACACACACTAACAGTGAATCAAACTTTGGAAATCAAATGAAGAGGCAAATAGAATATTAAGAAAAGTTAATGTACTTATGAAATTTAGTCAATAATAATAAAAAGAGAAGATATTTAGAAATTTCTAACTACAGCCATCAAGGTAGAATTAAATGCTAGATTATTTTCATTTCAGTTGCTATACATTTGAAAAATGTAAAATTGCTTTCAAATATTTAATTCAGACAATCACTACTACAACTGGACTCTGCTGTAAAGCAAGAGAAAGTTTAAGAGACTCACATCAGTATATGGTGAAATAGTCTAAGGAAAACGAGGGTGAAAAAGAAAACTGAAGAACTAGAAGCTGACAGAGTGAGGAAATACCTGGAGATTAATGGATATGCAAATTTTTGTTTTTGAATATGTAAATTACCAACAGGACACTGAAAACTTATTTAGGAAATATAAAGTTTTGTTGTTGGAGACTCTTCTAGGTATCATAATGTCTACTGACCTCATTCTACTAAGATTAAAATATAATACTGTGTTTACTGTGAATGTTTTGAAGTAGAATTAACTAAAAAAAATATTTCATCTGATACCATGCCTGGGAAGTTTAATTATTATTCCAGTTTTGTACAATAATAGATCATTACTGGCCTCCTTAGTTCTATGTTTTACATTATTCCTATTCAGTGGCAATATAATATACCTCATGAGTCAGCAAATGTTTGCTGAATAACCTTCAAAGCAGCAGGCATGTGATATAAATAACTAGAGGATCTCCTTTACTGTTGCAAACATGTTGCAGAAAATGAATGCTGGGTATTACTGGGCTTGCTTATATTGTTACTAACTTGCTGACATTAATATCATTCTAAGGTTCCTAACTTTGGCTGCATCAAGCATGACACTGCCACAATGATTTGCTTCAATATCATGGATGCTAAGGAATAATATCACTCACTCCCTTGGTGTCCATAACGTCAGATTTAATTATCTGCCCCGGATTTCCCTATATTTGGATTCTCCATGGCAAATTGTCAAATGTTTAACATTTAGGAGCTAGAGAACTCTAGTTAGTTACACAGATCATTATCTCCTTCCTTCCTGAAAATTAAAATTCTAGTTTTCAGTTATTTGCTTTGTTGACCTCTGATTCATACTTTAATGAATTGTAAATGCAGGCAAGAAAGACTTTGGAACCAAAATAACTAGGGGCTCTTTGCAGAAAAATTCCAATAGGGAAGTGAAATTTCTGCTCACAAAATATTTCACTCATTACCCTGACAGATGAACTGTGAAGCAAACATAGAGAAAATATTAGTAACCTTCTATAGAAATTCTGATTATCTTGTGCGCTGTTCTCCTTGCATTTGATCTTTATGATAGATGTCATGAATTGACAAGATATTATTATGCAAATGAGATGTTCATATTCCACTTGAAATAACAGAGCACAGCTTGAAAATATGCACATATCTTGTCAACGATAACAACTATTTCTCTTCCTTTAGATAAGTGTTTGGTTCATATTTTACAGAAATTTTTCTTGGCCTCTACTTGTAGTTTGATCATGCCAATTCTGTGGCATGACAAGTGGCATAAATACAAAATATCCAATTTAAAAAATATTTTCTTTAAGTTAATCATTTATATGTGGTTGACTAAAAATGATAGAGATTATATAAAATGCAATTTTTCTTGATAAAAACTCAAATTTCAATTAAAAGGGTATAATATTCATACTTCTATATGGGATATTTTATTTGTCTGTTAAAACTTAACAATCATTTATTGGCCAGTTTCTATGTTACTGCAATGAAATAGAAAGGTATTTAATATTACAGTAGGATAAGAATGTTAACTATGAAACAGAGTAAGTTGATCAATCATTAGCTTGTTAAGTATTGAAAGTAATTCCCCAACAAGGCTATAGAATCATTTCTTTGGAATACATAGTTGGTAGAAGCAATTGTGAAGTTTGATATGAATAAAGAAATAAGCTAGGAAATTCCCCAGAGTTCTGCATATATTCAGATATAGATCTTTGATAATATTAATAAACATGCCCTCAGAAATGTTGAAAAGTATTAGACAACAAAGCAAAGACTAGAAACTAGGCAATAATATTGAATTACATTGTTTAAAAACTTCATTGAATGGGCCTGGCAATGGTGACACATGCCTTTAATTCCAGAACTCAGGAGGCAGATGCAGGTGGATCTCTGTGAGTTTGAGACCAGCCTAGTCTACAAGAGCTGGTTGCAGACAGTTTCCAAAGCCACAGAGAAATCCTATCTGGAAAAAAACAAAACAAAGTTCATTGGATTATGTGTAAAGTATACACCTGAATGGGAGTTACTGGGAATAAAATTTAAAGCAAAAAAATTGAAAGTGGAATCCTGAAATTTATATTTGAAAATGTTACTGCCTCCCCCATAAATTTATTTCTTGGGAGGTTGGATACAGTGATTCATTAAGTTGAAGTTTCATTGATGACTAATTCTATAGTCCATTCTATAAAACCAAAAAGAATGTGTCAAATTTCATCAATTATAAAAGAATGATTGCTATGATTTATTAATAAGCTAACTTTTACTAAGTGATTAAAACGAAGCTTACTGAGTATACTAAATATTTTTAGTATAAGATGCTCATAAATACTAACAAAATAAGATAAATTTAAAAAAATTTCAACATGCAACTTTTTCTTATTGGTAAGGCTTTCTCAACTTAAGTCTACATGGATTTATTCTTGAGAGTTATTCATACTGGTGTGAATTACCTAATTTCAGTCCTTCACAAAGGTTTCCAACGTTGGAAGAAGGTATTGACTAATTTATTACATAATGTTTATCAAATAAAATTAATGTAATCTTTTTTAGTCTGGTCACTGATACAACATATTTCCAAAGGTATAGTTGTATCTTTAACCAAAAAAGTCATTTATTTAATGAGGGAACCTAATTTCTACCAATATCAGAAAGAATTTAGGATTTTTAATAAACAATAGATATTTTTTAAATGTTATTGAATTATACTCATTATTCAAGAGATACAAATAATTGTATTTGTGGGGGAAAGGCTTCAAATAAAAAATACTTAAAAAGGCATTCAAAATGAAAATCTTGTATAAGTAAAGTTTCTTTACTATAACAGTCAGGAAAAAATTGAAATATATCCAATCACAATAAATAGTTGAGTTCTAGACTGCACAAGTACAATAAGATGAAGTTTGTTATTCTAGAATTCTTTGTATGTTCCTTACTATAGCTCATTGTTAAAATTGGGAAAGTGCCTTCCTTCAACTATAGTTGAATTCAACTATAGTCATTGGGAATGACTATAGAAGTACTCTCTTCTTATCTATTTTTATTACCCTATTTATAAAAATCATCACAGTTTAGGACCTGCTGAGTTGGTATTCTTTTAAATTCTTTTGTCAAGAGTTACTCAGCAAGAGGACTTTGGAAATGCCCTGCCCTATTCTCTCAGAAATTTGGTACCATTATTTATGTTCTCTCTATAATCCCACATAAAACAGCGTGGCAGCATATAGAAGGGTCTCTTGCAAAGAAGACCCTAGTGAGCTGGCAGCCTTTGTCAACAGAAATAAGGCACAGCATTGGTACACAGTAAAGCAAGCTCAGGTAGCTGTGCTTGGGTAAATGTTACAGAATGGGGAATGACTGTTGAAGTCATTGTTCACTCAACCTCTCCCCAGGACGGAAGTAAAAGTCACAACTGCTTCAACATCTCTCCTCCTCTTTTCCCTTCATTCCCCGTCTACTTCCTCTCCTGCTCCTCCTCATTCTGTACTTCTTCCTCCACTCCTTCCTCTTATTATTTCTGTAATCATCATGCATAAAAAATTGTGAATCAGGGCCGGGCGGTGGTGGCGCACGCCTTTAATCCCAGCACTCAGGAGGCAGAGGCAGGCGGATCTTTGTGAGTTCGAGGCCGGGCTGGACCTATAGCCTCCGAAACAATACAGAGAAACCATGTCTCGTAAAAACCAAAAAAAAAAAAAATATATATATATACATATATATATTGTGAATCAGGCTAGGGCTTCTTAAACTTCTTTTCCCTCAGAGTATATGTCATTCATGTGCGATCGCGTAAATTATACTTATTTATATACTTAGAAAAACTTAGTTACACGTAAATTTTATTTTCATTATTAACTAAACATAGGAGGAATTTTAGGGTGTTAGAGGTAGAAATACACAGCAGATTTTTATTATTTTCCTTTTAGTCTACTGCTTTAGCACCCATTATGAAACTGTCCATGTGTTACAAAGAATTTACTTAATTTAACTACTACGTGGTGAGTCTGAATTATATTTAAATTATTTTGAAACATTTTATACTAAAGCCAAATAAGAATTTTTATATTTGCACAATAATCCTTAAACAGCTCTGGTTTTGAAACATAAGTCAATAGGTAGTTATATTAGGAAAAGAAATAAACTCAAGTCTGAACTGTACAAAAGTGGCAAGACTGAACAAATGTGACTCCAGCTGTTAAGAGTCTGGTAACCATGTACTTGGATGAAGTTCTTGTCTTTCCAAGACCCATCCATTTTCTAAGGGCACTGCATCACCCATGTTGCAAGGCTTCCATTTGAGATTTCAAAAGTCTGGGAAGTATATTTGAAAAGTACATAAGCTCCATCAACACATTTTATAGTATAAAGTTCCTGCTAATATAAACAGAAATATAAGGAGATATTTAAATGGAAATATCATGAGCTATCATTTATTAGATATTACCTACAATCCTATAGATATCATATTCTCATTTATAAATATGATCGCTGAAGCTTGAGTGAAAAAGAATAACCTGTCTAAAGGGTTATACTAGTAAGCAAGTAATACTTAGTCATAAGTCTATCTGTTTGAAAGTCCTTGCACATAACTGCTAAAGTAAAGTGTTGATGATACAAATAGGGACATTTACTTTACTTCCAGTGAACCCTGTAATGATATCTTAAATTCTAGAATTTGTTGAAGGAGTATGTGCCTTTAAAGGCACTAAAAAGGAAAAATTGTTTTCTGTGTTGCATTGTGAAAAAAACATTAACTTACTATTGGTACAACCAAGATGAACAAAATTATAATCCTGTTATAAGTCCATCTAGGCTAGGCAAACTTCTCCCACTTTTGGAGGGCTCCAATCTTACAGGAATGAATTCAAGGGAGACTAAAGGATTTTTCTTTGCTTGACTGCTAGAGTACAGCAAAGGAACAAACAGAAGATCTACTATGATGTTTCCATTAAACGTTTTCCTTTATACTCAGTAATATTTTTTCACTAAATCAATATTCATAGCTATGGGGTGCTAACTACTCTGTGTGCTATTTCTTCAATTAAAACATTAGCATTCCTAGCACATTTGGATGTACTTTGTAAAATAAACACCACAATGAAGAGATAAAATGACTCAATAATTGATTGGTAAACACCATGTAACTATGGAATAATTATATGCTCTGTGAATTATATAGTACTTATAGCTGACATTATTTAGGAAACATAAGAAATGAACTTGTAATTTGTACTTATCAGATTTCAATTCCTAACAGCCAGTTAAATATCCTATTATTATGTAAAAGTATCCTATCATTAAATACCTGGTCAATAACAATCATGCAATTAGTTAACATGCATCATACTCCAAAATACAGTCATCGGGATGCCAAGAAATAATTTATGAATTTGATGCATTCAGGAAAAGAAGAAAGAAAAAGATCTTTAAATATAGATTGTAATTGAGGCATACAGGTGTCCACTAAGGGCTGCCATGATTACAAAAGGAGTTCAGCTGGTTCCTTCATAATCCTCAGGTGGCTTTTCACTTCAGCATAGGCTGCTCAGAAAGGTCTTTTGGGGTCTTCCTTTCTTGTGATCTCTACCACAAACTATGCCACCAAATACCCATGCAATTGCTAATGCCAAGATCTTACTTCTTATTGTCTCTGTTAAGGAAATAACCAACCTTGTTTCCCTTCATTAGAGGAGATGCTTTGTCTATAAATAGTTGTCTTTGTTAGAGAGCACTTCCTTTGAGAACTGTGGTGTGTGGTACTTGGTAGACACACAATCAACTCCTTGGACACTGGTTGAGGAAGGAACACATTAGTAGTGCATATCATGTGAAAGTCCCTTTTGTAGACCTTGGGAAGGATGACTCTCTTTCCATGGATCTTGTATACCAAGACACTCGGCTAATGAGCCACATGTTTTTCAAAATGGAATTAAAACTTTTGGATGAAGAACTAATCTTCATACTTGATTCAAGCCTGTGTCTGTCTGTTCTCCCATATTCTGTTAACAATTCTACCTTACAAGAACATACCTTGAATTGCTTACAACTGATTCTGACCATACACATTTATTTCCACAGACAACAACATTAATTGGTCTTTTGAAGACTGCACGTCTCCTTCGTCTTGTGCGTGTAGCCAGGAAACTGGACCGATACTCAGAATACGGCGCTGCTGTTCTAATGCTCTTAATGTGCATATTTGCCCTGATTGCCCACTGGCTGGCTTGCATCTGGTATGCGATTGGGAATGTAGAGAGGCCCTATCTGACTGACAAAATTGGATGGTTGGATTCCTTAGGACAACAAATTGGGAAACGTTACAATGACAGTGACTCAAGTTCTGGACCATCCATTAAAGACAAATACGTCACGGCACTTTATTTTACCTTCAGCAGTTTAACCAGTGTAGGATTTGGAAATGTGTCTCCTAACACCAATTCGGAGAAAATCTTTTCCATTTGTGTCATGTTGATTGGCTGTAAGTAGATTTCTCTTTTGCTATCTGTTAGGATAAATAATAGCACAAAATTGGTATTTCTAGAGGATGGAGAATAAAGCAAAAAATGGAAACTGTGGAGATAGTGGGATTACAGATGTAGATATTATATTCTGTAAAGTATGATATTTCTTAGTGAAGTGAAGAAACAAAAATTTCTTTCCATATTCTTCTCTTAGAACTAGCTTCAATACCAATATAAAAGAAACCCATTCCTTGGTGATCCTAGGGTTAGTTCAGCCTCTCCTTAATGCAAAACTGTATCACACACTATAGTATCACACTGAGGGCTCTAGAGATGGCTCAGTGGTTAAGAACACTTGCTACTCTTGTCTAGGGATAACACTCTGTTCTTAGCACTCACAACCTCCTCTACCTCTAGTTCCAACCTGACACCCTCTTCTGGTCTCTGAAAATGCAAGGCAAGCAGACTGGTGCAAATGAATATACTTTGTCACTCACATGTAAACATAACAACAAATACAATTTGAAAAATTAAAATTTAAAAATAGTATCACAAAATTGCTTTTAACCCAAAAATATTTTCAGGTGTTTATGAAATCACTTCTAGGCTACCTATATTTCCTAACACATCATAAATGTTTCATAAATCTCACAAGGATAAATATGAAAAATATCTGGACATGTGTAGTACAGGCATAATTCTTTGAAAATATTTTTGTTCATGGCTGGCTGAATTCCCTCATTCAAAAAAGCTTCTTTTTTACTCTAGAATATCATGAGTATAAAACTGAAGTGATATGGGTACTCATATTGCAGATCTGAAAATTACAGTTCATTCATTGTTACATAAAAATGATTGTAATTTACTACTAATAGTTATTTCTGTTACAAGTTGAGATCAAGTTAAGTGGGAAAATAGAATTCTAGATATAAATCTTTCATACATATAAAACCATTACAATTAAATCTACAATCGATTTCCTCTTTTGTTGATTTTAAATTGGTTTTCTTTTGACATCATTCTAAGGCCAAAGTAACTACTTTTTACTCTGTAGTGGCTTTATACAAAGAACAAAATTTATTGCATATATTGTTTAGAATAGAAGATTTTATGGCAGGATGGAGATGACTTAATAATAATTTTGAAATTACATTGTAAAGAACCTACTGATACCCTGGATTACAGCAGACAACAACAACTTCAAAAGGAGCATTGCCCTTGGATGATGTACCAAATTGAAAATAGATCTTGGCAATTAATTTTCATGTATCACTCACTAATTACTGAAATGTGGTTAGATAAGACCTATTTATGAATCTTAAATTCTTAAGTTCTCTCAGTAATCTACTCTGCCCAAAATATAGTTTTATTTCAATAACATTTTCATAAGAAAATACCTTTTTTTTAAACCCTCAAGTTCTTTTGCCAATTCCACCAAAGGCTTGGCTACAAACACAGAAGTAGCAATGCATGCAGACTGCAATGGAACTGGAGCCTATTAAAAAATAGAAATACGCATTCAAGGCACTTTTAGTATGTAATTATAACCATAGAGGGAATGGGGAGATGACTCAGGCAGTAAGAGTTTTGTCTTGCAAGCTTGACAAGTCCTCGGCACCCACATTGAAGCCCGGTGAAGCTGTGCACACCTGTAACCCCAGGACCAGCAAAGCAGAGATAGTAGTATTCTGAAGACTCGCTGGCCGACAAGTGGGTTTGTTGCGCTCCAGGTCCAGTGAGAGACATGGAAACTATGGTGGAATGGCCAGTGAGATGGCTTAGCAAAAGGTATCCAATGACAAACCCGAGAAACCCAGTTCAATTTCCAGATCCACATGGTGGAAGGGAAACACTGACACCTACAGGTTGCCCTCTTACCACACACAAGCCATGGCCTACACATGCACATGAGCACTCGTGCGTGCGTGCACACACACACACACACACACACACACCATGAACACTTGCATACATGCGCAAAATCAATACATAAAAATGCATATATATATATGGTAGAAAGTGATTGAAGATCCTCCACATGTACATCTATACATACAAATACACACATACTCACTCAAAGCAACAGCAAAAGAATATACCAGAACACATTTCACAGAATACATTTCACAATGATTAAAGGTTTTAGTTGCATTAATATAAAACAAGGCAAAGAAAAGTATCTGTTCTTGATTCAATATTTATATTTGTGAAATAAATACGAATATATCTACTTAAGAAAAGAGTACCTACATATATTTAGAAACATCAATTCAATGAACTTACAAAAATTACAACCAATTATCCTGTTCACGGCTTAGAAGCCCTCAGCACTGTGGTATTTGTTATGTGAGTTGTTTTATTGAAAACAAATGCTAGTTCTTCTTTAGCCTTCACACAATATCTAATATCAGAATAATGACAGCTCCTCTTGCCCATTCTCCCCTTCTTTCCTTCTTTTTAATTTTCTTTGTCCCCTTGCCTTCTTTTCTATATTTCCCTCCTTCCTTCTTTTGTTCTTTCCTTACGAATGTCTTATCTTTTCATAAATATACCACTACATTACCTTTACTGGTCCTTTAAAAAGAACCTGTGATCCTTACAGATAAATTTGATCTTCTAAGAGAAAATTCTATTCAAATTGGATAGAGAAAAGGTCAATTCACATTAAACGTATACCATTTATTCGAACAGAAGACTCATTTTTATAAGTTTTGATGAAATGAGATGGGCAAAGCTTGGTGTCACACAGAAAAAAAATTCTAAGCATTGCTTGAGAGTCCTGTCATGACCTATGATGCCATTAATAAGGACAAAGGTAAAACTGAGAGTTGAAATGCAACAATAACAATGCTCATGAAATGTTTTTAGCCTTTAGGAATAGTGACATGCTTGTTCCTGATATCTCCCATTAGATGGGATTACATGCAAAACTTAATTGGCTCTTGTTATTTGCAATATTTACACACTAAGCAGGATATAACATAACGAGAAACATAAAATTAAAATGTAAAACCAAAATTTTTGTGTAAAATATCATCTGTGTATTTATTTTAACCAGAAAGATATGGTGAAATTTCAGCTTCCTTAAATTATTTATTAATAAAAGAAAAATGAAGCCACATTGTAGACAAAGGGGAACTTGTATGCATATTACAGCATTATCATGCAAAAAAAATAAAAACAAAGAAGCCTAAACTATTTAAAGGGAGGCAGAGGTTAGTGCACTTCCAAGGGAGGCAGGGGCACTCATCACTGATAACAGGAAGCACAGAAACTGGAGACCAGCCTGGGCTACATAATAAGTGCCTGTTTAAAATTGTCTCAGGAAATGCAAATAACCGCAACATCTGTAGACAGTTTTAAATGCCATTCTCACTAAATTCCCGATTGTGCACACAGAATAATGATTGGATAATTCACTTCAATAGTGTACATAACTAAAAGAATGAAAGAACACTCAACAAATGTGAAGATGGGTGTTCTCGCACACTTATATCTACATTTCTAATTTATAGATAACTTTTGGTTGTGAGCCTAGCCTTTAACGGCTGAGCTATCCCTCCAGCCCTCTAATTTATAGATAACTTTAAGTTGTTAAAATTTCAGAAACATTAGGTTCACATTTAATTTTTAAAAAACACAAAACCAGGTGAAGTGTGAGTGAATGTTCTCCAGCTCAGGCCTGCTTGACAAAGAACTTGGTAGAATTTCTTGGTTTTATTTAATGTATCAGCCACTGGAGTTCTAGCCATGATGGAGTAATTAGAGTCTCGAGCCTCAATTAAAAAGTCAGAAAACTAAGTAAGATGTACTAAGTCATTGTTTTCAGACACTAAAAAACTAGCAGAGAATTGTCATCCCTGGAAGAAAAACAGAAACAGGATGGCTTTGTGTTACCTATCTGTAGACACAAGGATAGGATGAGCAGGGAGGGGAGAAGATCCTAAGCATGTACAATAGTCACACCCAGCTAAGAAAGGATGATTAGAAATCATGTAGGCTAAGATGTTAGAATCTACAACACAGAAAATGAAATGAAATAAGGTAAGAAGCAGCTACGACAAAGGAAAGCTCAGAGAACTTCATGAGTAGCAGCTTGAACCTTTTAAGACACAAATACATGGAATGCCAGCCTTTGGACCCAGCAAAGAGTCATACAAGCATAAGCTGAACTAATCTCAGGACACACACAGGTATGAGGCACATTAAAATTCAATCAAGCAGATTAGAAAGCCTCACCGAATGTCCAGGTTGTTCAGGAGAAACCTTAGTAAAACAAAGCCCATAGAACCAGAACTAACACAGCCCTAACAAAGCTTTATAAGCAAGCCTTCAATCTGACCTTTGGGCTAGGGCTCAGCAGTAGAGCACTTATAGAGTAAAAAAGAACAGTCTTATCTTCAAGTTCTCCATCTACAAGAGCACAGGATCAGTATCTAAATGAAAAGGTATTTTGGACAAAACAATGAAGTACAGGAAACAAAACAAATTAGACAGCTGAGATTCCATCAAATTCAATGACAAAGAAAACAATCTAGTAAAGATTAATCTACAAAATGGGAGATAAGATACACATAAACCTCTGGAAAGGGTTTACTTGCTATCCAGAATATAGGAGGAACTCTAGGATCACAAACAAAAGTCAACACAATTTAAGAGGAACACTAGGCTTTAATGGACATTTATCAAAACATGACACACAAAAGATCAAGTTCAGCAAAGTGCTCAACATCTCTAATCCCCATGGAAACACACATTAAAACTAAAATGCCTCTTTCCACACTAGCAAGAACATCTATTGTCAAAAATACCAAAAAATATGCTACAAGAAAAAGCCCTTGATCACTGCTGATGGGAACATAAACTAATACAGCTATTATGAAAAAACAGAAATAAAACTACAGTATGATGATATAGTCATTTCATTGCTGGGATAATACACAATGGAAATGAAATAGGTCAGAAAGATGTCTTTATATCCTATCTCTACTCCATCAAAATTCATAATAGTTAACAA